GATGAGGACAGTGTGAGCATGGTGGGGGGTGGACCAGGAGAGCAAGTGTGGGGAAGGGGGAAGGCCCAGTACAGTGAGTGTGGGTACAGTGCAGAGGGTGGCTCTGGGACTCCTGCCTTGGAGGCTGTAGCAGCAGCAGGGTGTCCCACCCCCACAGGAAGGGTGGTGCCCATGGGGAAGCCAGGCCCGAGGCTGCTTTTTTGTGGGGCCACAGGGTTGACCCTGGACTTCCCAGGAGGGACAGTGCGCTGAGGCGGCTTGATGAGTGCCATTAAAGAACATGAGGCAGTGTCCCTGCTGCTTGGACGCCAGTACCCATGTCGGCATTGGGGTTCAGACCCGTTCAGACCTTGCAGCAGCCCAGAGGGCTGTGGAATGTCACCGTGGCTCTGCGAGTCCTTGAGGAGGCGTTCCCGGGAGAGGACGACCTTTGACTGAGGGGACACGCAGCCCCCCCTGGTGCAGTGATGGGGAGGGCGAGGGTCACACTTGCCCTGTGCCCTTCATTTGTTGTCTGACGGTGCGGCCTGAGGCAGACTGTGTGGACGGCTCCATCCTGGTGGGCAGGGAGTCGCTGTGAGTTTGAGCCCCGGGTCGGCAACTGCCAACAGCAGCCACAGCCACTGCGCTGCGTCTCAGGGCCAGGGTGGCCCGGGGCCTCCTCTCGAAGCTCTTGATCTGCCGGTTTTCACTGTGGAATCGAAAGGGCCAGACCCAGAGGGGTCCTGTCCTGGCTGCAGCACGTGTCCAGTTCAAAGCCCGGGCGTCCCTGCAGAGCCGGGCAGCTGCGGGGCTGATGCTGCTCCAGGCCCCTCCCACGGTGCAGGAGGCCCAGGGACACCTCTCCCCAGCTGCCTTTCACTGCGTGCGATGGCTTGTCACTGTCATGGACGCCCCGGGACCCGTGGGACAGCTTTCTCTTGTGCTCCCGGGTCACGCTCCTCCCTCGGGAGCAGGGGACTTGTCGGCTGCTGTCACGTGACGCTGACTCATCATGACCACAACAGAAGAAGCACCGCCTGGCCCTGGGCCACCCTCTCAGCTGGTGCCCTGTGCCCACCCGAGGTGCCTGCCCACCCCACCCAAGGGAGACCTCTTCTTCACGGACCCTGTACTTTACCAAGCATAATGGCCTCTTCCAATGACCGCCCTCCTTGCAGCAAGTCCAGAGCACACGAGACGAAGTCTCCCCATCCTCCCTTCTAAGGATCCCTCTGCCCGTCCTTCCAAGACAGAGCTGCCGGTTCTCCTGCCCATCCATCCAATAGGCTGCACCAGGACCACACGCTCTTGTTCAAACACCCCACCTCTTCTTCGTCTTCCTTAGCAGTCACCGTCCAGGTTCCATGCCAGTAAGGCATGATTGGAAATGCCATGGCACGGGCTGGGCACATGTGTGTCCTCAAAGCAACATCCTAGCTCCTTAACATTTTACAGAAGACTTGGGCGGCAGGTTTTCCCAGTGTGAGATGTCATTTGATGTCTTTGCTGCTTCCGAGAAGCGTGTGGAGGATCAATCGATCTGAGCCGATCGAACCTGAGAGATCTGTTTCCTCTGTCCCATGATGCTGTCTGTTGGCCCAGTTGTGAGGCTGTTTGATTCTTTGCCGTGAGTTGCGGTCTGTGGTCTTCCTCAGTAAGGGCCTCGAGGCCTCCTTGCTCTCGCAGGCTGTTAGGGAGCCTTCCTGCGATCGGGGCCCATGTCCTTCCTCCCATGCAGCTTCTCAGGTTCTCTGCTCGGTGCGTGGTGGGTTCAGTACCGTGAAGGGATGGGACTCTGACCCTCACCTTTCCTGATTGCAATGACTGCCCTTGATCCAGGAACAGGTTCCAGGCGAGCACCATGAGGTGTGAAATGCCCACTCTTCTCAAGGCCACCCATTGTCATTGTCACAACCCACAGAGCCGAGTGCCCATGCGCAGTCAACGAAACACACGTGAGCATCTTTCTGGTGTTCTCTGCTTTCCGCCAAGATCCAGGTGACGGCAGCAGTGATACTCCCTGTGCCAGGTCCTCTCGTACATGCAGCTTGATTGATGTGCTCCTGCAAGTGTTGGGAGATCTTCTGCAGCACTTTACTTACGGCGGCTCCGTGGCAGTGACATCATCCGTCAACTTGAGCGAAGGGGCGGAGTCTAGCCTGTCAACCAGGTCGCAGCTCGATGACCTCATTTGGAGGCATGCAGTCGATAAATTGCTCACTGGAGACCAGACCCACTCTCTCTCTGCCTTCCCTTTCCTGCTGTGGAAACAGTCAGGGAGCTGGAGGAGACACGTGAAGACCCACGCCAGTGCCGAGATGCTTCCACCACCACTGGGTCCACAAGACCGTCTACCCAGTGCCCGGTAATCTTCCTGCGTTCAGGATCACTGCATGTGCTGCGTGAGTCTAGAGAGGACTGTATGGACTAGTATTGGACATATGGGCTAATATGGGACTTATAAACTTGATCTGGACTGGGCTGGGCTGGTTTCTCAACAGACAATTGCTCTTCGATATACACATGAGTGTCACATATGAGTGTCAATGAATTTGTTTCTCTAGTCAACCCAGACTAACACAGCTAGTAGTGATATTAGGCGAGAGTGTTGGCATTCCCTCGGCTCCCTTGTCTTGGGGCACACATACGGGCCTCTTCCCGCTGGTGGCCCAGTGGCTGTCTTCCAGATGTGTTGGTGTCGACCAGCAAGGCGTCCAGTGCTTCATCGCCTTGTTTTGCTTTTAGGGTTTCAGTTGGTCCTCTGTCAATCCCTGGAGGGCTTCTCATCCATCTCTAATGCCTTCAAGGACATTTCAGACTTCCTCCTTCAAAAGCATCTGTGGTCAGCAGTTCAAACCCACCAGCCGCTCTGCGGGAGAAAGCCGTACAGCCTCAGAACACCACCGGGAAGTTCTGCTCTGTAGGGGAGCCGGGAATCAGGATCTACTCGATGGCAGTAGATTGGATCCTGAGTGTGAAGCCCATGGGGATGTCAGCTTGAGTAGGGTCTGCCCTCGGTGAGGGTGTCGACATGTTACTGGGGATCAATTCGAAGTTCCCAGCTGTGGTCTACCTTCAAATCAGGAGGGACCTGTGGGGCAAAGTCCACCCAACCTGGACAGAGCTCTGCTCTCTGATCCCTCCTCCCTCTGGCCTGCACCCTGCTTTCGCTGGCCACCGGAGTGGCTCTGGAGCCCTCAGACAGAGCGTCCTAGTCTCTGGGCCAGGTCTCCTGTGCAGTCTTAGTGGCTGCGGTTTGAATTCACCTGGTTTGGAAGACCAAGGAAGGCCGAATGAATGTGAATGACGGTGCTGGAGAGGACGATGGGCCCTGGGCTGCCAACAAACCAAACATCTGTCTTGGAAAAATTGGCCAGAGCGAGCGCTCCTTAGAGGCAAGGATGGTGGGCCTTCGTCGCACATACTTTGGACATGCTGTCAGCAGAGGCAGTCCCTGCAGAAGGACATCGTGCTTGGCAAAGGAGAGGGGACAGGGAGAAGGGGAAGCCCTGGGCCAGGTGGGCGCACACAGCGGCTGCAACGCTGGGCTCCGACGTAAGGAGCAATGTGCGGCGATGCAGGCCTGGCTTGATTCACTGTGGAACTCGGGGTGCCCTCAGGCTGCTGGATTGAGAACCAGGTGGGGTGGGGGGGCCTCAGCCTCTCAGACCACATTCTTCTCCTCTGGAGTCTTGTGTTCTTGACCGCCTGTCAGGAAAAGGGTTCATTTGGAGACTTGGGGATCTGTCTCCCCCGCCTCATCTTGAGGTTGTAAAATTGATGTTTTCCCTCTAAGGAATCCTTGCCAGATCGGAAGGCCATGCCCACGGGACACGTCCGCCGTCTTGCAGTCCTCGCGGTCTAGCAGGAGCCCACGCCCCCAGGGACTGCGGTGCCCTCTCTCTGTGTAGTGTGGCCGGCGCTGTCTCGGTCATCTTCGTGTCCATGGGAATTTCCTTTCACTTTGTGGATAAGTGGGAGGGCTCAGAGGGGACCAGAGGTTTGACTTCTAAAGTCACTTTCTGTTTCCTCTCCCACTGACCCCACGGGAGTGCTCAGGAGCGGCCCCTGCACCGGGCATGGCCTGGCCAGCCCTCACCGGCCTCACTGGGGCGGAGTTGGTCACATCAGAGTCCTGGCCGGCTGCATTCATCTGACCATCCGCTCACGTCTCAGCCTGAAAAGCACTTGAAGAGCAGAGTCCGAGGCGGCTCTCAGGGCCCAGGAAATGCCCTGCTGCTGGGAACAGAAGGCAGTGAAGGTGGCAGAATCAGGGGCCCTGATCTGAGCACTAGCTAGCGCTTTGACCCCCAGCCTCCCCTGGGTGGTTTTCACGGCTGAAAACCCCTGCTGCCTGGGGAGTGGCAGTGAACCTTCCAGACCCACGGTGGCCCCCACACACAGAACAGAACCCGCCCCGTTCTGCACCGCCACACAGGTGTCACATCTAAGCCCATCGTCGCAGCCACGGTGTCCTTCCATCCATCTTGCTGAGAGCCTTCCTCTCCTGCACTTTGCCAGCATGGTGTCCTTCTCCAGGGACTGGAGTCCGTGAGATGGCCTGTCGTTGTCCTCACCTCTAAGGGGAGCCCTGGCTGGGCTGCTTCCAGTGTCCATGGTCCTCTCCGTGCTCCCCAGCAGGACCCACACGCTGCCCAGCCTGGCCTGGCTCGCAGCCAGCTGTGTGTCATGCCGTGGGCTCTCCCCGCCCCCGCAGCTGTCCCCACGGGAGCCTGTGAGGGAGTAGGGTCATGTGCACCCCTGGCTGCTGATGCCCAGCACGGGGGGGCGGGGGGGGGCATACCACCTGGCGTGTGCTCTACTGAGGCCCAGGACCCCTGCCCGTCCCTCTCCTCCGCTTGCTACGCCCTCGACGTGCACCTGTGTGCTTTGGGTCTGGGGAGGAGGGATACAAAATTATGCGCTGAAATGTCAACCCCGAGCGCCTGGTCCTTGGTTTGTGCATGACTGACCAGCAAAGGGTGATGTCCGTCATTGCTCCCAGCGGAACGTAGACGGGCAGCGAAAAAGAGGAAGGCCCCCGACCAGCTGGACCGGCACCGCAGCTGCCTCGATGGCGGACATGACTGAGATCATGAGGACGGCGCTGGGTTTGTTCTGCTCACAGTGCACGGGTCGCTGTGGGTCGGAACCCACTCGATGGCACCCGAGGACAAGGACATTGAAACCGCCCGCCCGAGTCTCCGCGAGCAAGCTGACGGTGCCGTCAGGGAAAGGCTGAGCCACTGTGACGGGAAGTCCCGAATCCAGTCCAGCGCTTCGTGATGGGTCAGAACTGACTCCGAGGCCACGGATTTGGTGCCACGAGTCAAGTCATAGACTGCTGACATGAGCACATGAGTTCAAGTCCACCAGCCACCCCGGGAATAAAGATGAGGCCTTAAAGATTGGCCCTCTGGGAAACATAGGGAGCTGTTCTTCCCTGGCCTGTGGGGCCACTGTGCGTTGAACTTGGGCCTGTCGCGTGGTCAGCAGTGAACCACTTCCCCCTTGCTGACCAAGAATGAATAAAGTATCATCTCACAGCTCCCAAAACAGGCAGAGACGGCCGTTTGGACCACAGGAGCCTTCTTGGCAGCCCGAAGCCAGGTCTGCAGTGTGCTTGGGGTTCAGAAATGTTCCCTGCCCCCCTCAGTGCTCCCGTCCACGGGCCCCTTTGTGAGTGTGGGTGGCTGTGTTTGATTATCAATAATCAGCTGTGCCCAGTCTGGGTGTGTGATAGGCAGCACCTGGCCGGCAGACCTCCGGCGTGGTCTCACCGTGGGAGCCCTGGCCAGCCCAGCCCAGCAGGGGATGCCTCCCTCAGCCACACCATGGTGGGAGACCCACATCCCGGCTTTCGGGGTGTCCGTGGGGCCATGTGAGTCCCACCAGCATGGGGACAGCCGGCCCCAGCCACACGTCTCTCAGCTTCTTGCCGCATATTTGGTACGAAGTTTTGTTTTGTTTGTAAACGTTTATCCCACGCCTGATTGTAGCCCTGCAGTTTTCTCCTAACTTTCTCCTAATGCCATGGAGGCGGGACTTCAGGGAGACCTCACTCACTTGGAGTGGACTTGGGAAAGGGTCCTTGGTGAAGCAGGGGCCAAGCTGGCCAGCTGGCCAGCTCAGAGCCACCTGTCGCTCCTTGAAGGCAAGATGAAGCCGCCTGCTCCCTTGGAGACTGACCATCACAGGACCCCTAAGGAGCAGGCGCCCTGCCCTGTTGGGTCGCTGTGAGCCAGAACAGGCTCGCCTCCAGTGGGCTGGGGGGGTTTGAGTGTGCACTTGGGAGTGGGAGCACCACTGGCAGTGAACACGCACAGCGGGGCGGACTGTCGGGGAGGGCAGTGGGACTGTGGAAACTGGTCTAATGCCGATGGACACCGCAGACAAAGCCCGAGGGCTGCAGTCTGAACATGCGACTCCTGGTCCCACGGAGACCCCATAGTGACCCCGACAGCAGGGTCTGTGGACAAGACAGTGACAGATGGCATTCGTGACCATAGGGCCCGGCAGCCTGTCCCCCTGAGCCGTTGCTCCTGGGCGGAGGGCCCCCACTGTGAGCCCGGCCAGCCCACACGTTCACCGTCTGCTCTCCCGTGCCAGGTGCCGTGGCCAGCACGGAAGTGAAGATGAAGCTGCAGGAGTTTGTCCTCAACAAGAAGAAGGCGCTGGCCCACCGGAGCCTCAACCACTGCGTCTCCAGTGACCCACGCTACTGGTACGGGTGAGTGCAGGGCGGCTGAGGGTCCACCCCCACCGTGGCGCGCCCCAGGCCTGGGCGCCACCTGACCCAGTGGAGTCTGCCCGTGGCAGGTACCTGGCCCTCTCGTGTCCCGCCTTGCCCATGCTCAGTGGGCTCGGTCAGGAGGTTGTGCTGGATTGGAGTCAGAGCCCCTTCCTAATCCTGGGACAGAGCCCAGCACACATCCTGCCTCTTCTGGGCCCAGCGGGGAGGTGGGCTATCTGGGGGTGCACTTGGTGAGGAGGTACAGAGGGGTTTCAGAGAGTCAGGAGCAGGCCCTCCCCAGGGCCTTGGTTCAGGCTCCCTGTGAGCAGGGTGACCCCAGAGCATCCCTGCTTAGGACGAGGCATGACCCCAGGTTAGTGGCATCGGGGCACACCCCCTTTCCAGAATGGGGGCAGTAGCAACGATGGGAATGGGGATCAGATTCAGGTGAATCCGGGGAGGCAGCCTGTGTCCCTGTGATGTCACCAGAGGCCTCTCAAATTCCCCAGCAGGCCCCTCTTGCTCGATGGCCATCTGTTCTCAGATGGCCCGTAGGCGGCAGGCTGGGTGTGACTTCCCGCCCCTGTCCCCGGCCAGCAGCCCCCCGGATCCCAGACTAGCCATGGAGCCCAGAGCCATGGGGGTGCTCCAGGGCCGCCAGCAGGGTGGGCTTCCCGGAGCATGGAAACCAGGACCTCCGAACCAAAAGCGTGACCTGTCAGGGGCAGTGCCAGCACTTGGGCACCCTGCTCCAGGGGCAGCAAAGAGAGAAAGACCGCCCGCAGGGCCTGGTGTCTGAGTGCCCTGGGGAGGGACGGGCGGTGGGGTAGGGGGCTGCACAGCAGGAGATGCAGGATCTCATGCCCAGGAAGCACGTGGCAGCTCAGCCTTCCAACGCCCCACTCACCCCCGCCCACGGCTGCTCCCGACGGGCCTTGGTTGTGGTCACCCTTGGGCAGACCCTGTCATGCCTGGCGTCTTCACCGCTGGTTTTCGGAGGAGGGTCTCCAGGCCTTTCCCCCTGCCCTCAGTCCCGACGCCCCAGGCCCTGGGCAGTGTCACAGCAGCACATGCAGGTGGGAGGGACCAGCCCCGGGCTCCGCGGCTCCTACGCACGGGCTCACAGGCCCTCACACTCAGCCTGACAGCCTCTCATGAAGGGAAAGCCTGCAGAGGGCCGACCGGCGCACGAGACCCGTCTCTGGTGTTGAAGAGCGAGGCGGACTGAGGCCCCCTGACCCAAGTGTGGTATACACCCTGTGAAAGTTGGACCCTGAATAAAGAAGAATCGATACATTTGAATCATGGTGCTGGAGAAGATAGAGTGCATCTCTACCTGCTAAAAAGAGACCTGTCTTGTAAACACAGCCAGAGTGCTCCTTAGAGGCAAGGATGGCGGGACTTCCTCTCGCGTCCTTTAGACACGTATCAGGAGAGACCAGTCCCAGGAGAAGGGAACCCTGCAGGGGCAGTGAAAGTGAGGAAGGCCCTGGACGAGATGGACAGACCCTGGCTGCAACAGTGGGCTCAGGCATGAGGATGGCACAGGACCGGGCACTGTTTTGCTCTGTTGTGCACAGGGTCGCTGTGGGTCAGAGCCAACTCCTCAGCAGTCAACACCACCACCTATGGAACGGGGTGGGGGCCAAGGAGCAGCCAGCTCCCAGTCACCCAGCCCGGACAGGAACACGCCTTCAGATCTTTAAATGTGCACCTGTGCGCGCTGAAGGGCTGGTTTAAATGTGCACCTGTGCGCGCTGAAGGGCTGGTCTTCTGAAGTCAGATTGGTCCAGGTGTGTGGAAGTGGAGGGTCCGTATCCAAATAAGCCACCTGGTTGATTCCAAACCAGGCCGCCGGCAAGTGTGTTTCAAGTCATGGAGCTGATTGCACCGTTTACAGGCTCACCGAATTCATGACGTCCTCGGTTTCCTGCAGAATTTGGGGTGGGGGTGAGGGGGCTCCCAAGAAAGCAGGTGACAAGCAGGGGCATCTGTAGTGCTGGCAGCCATCGGGACCACACGGGCCTGTGGCCCCGCCCTCCTGCAGCCTCAGGAAGGGACCCCCCCACCCCCTATCCGTTTGGAGGAGCAGTGGAGCCAGGCTGCTGGCCCAATGCTTTGAACCTTCTGGTCACTCGGCAGGAGAAAGGCCTGGCCAACCGGGTGGTCAGACACTCACGATGAGAGCCCAGTGATGCAGGGCGGCCACAGGGGTCAGAATCAATCTAGGGGCACACCACAACGAGAGCCCCCAAAGGACCCTGTCTGCCACCTGGCAGTCCGCACGGGGATTAGCCCTCACAGAGAAGTCTCCTGTGGCAGATGGGGTCGGTAACTGCCTCCAAAGACAGGGACGGTCCCCTGCTGCTAGGCAAAGACTGCTCTCGGCAGGCGAGTGGCCCACCGGCCGGCCTGGGGCATGGCCCTGCTCTCTGGAGGCAGAGAGGACCCAGATACACCAGCATCCACTGCCCAAGCCTCCCCGACCCGTATGATCCCTAAGCCTGGAGCCCCCTGGGTTTCTGAGGATGACGCCTGGTAGCTGGGGGACAGGGCAGGGCAGCGCCATCCCAGGGACATGGGGCAGAGTACAGGTGCAGCCCTGCCCACCTGATCCACCCGTTCTGGCTGCAGGGTGTGCGGTCAGTGATGGGGTTCTGTGCAGACTCTCCAGGTGGCGGGGAACAGAGGGAGGCAGGTATCCCTCCATGAACTGACTGTCCCTTGGCTCTCTGCCCCCAGGAAGACACAGCACAGCTCACTGGACCAGAGCTCGCCCCCGCAGAGCGGGGTGTCCACCTCCTATAACCACCCCGTCCTGGGCATGTACGACGCCAAAGACGACTTCCCTCTGAGGAAGACAGGTGCGTTCACTGGCCGGGCCGCAGTGGCCTCCGACTTTGTGGGGCTCGGCCAGCACCCAGAGGGGTCTGGTGAGCTAACTGGTCAGGGTGCAGTGCCCACTGTCCCTGTGGGGTCAGCCAGCCAGAGCTGCCTGGAGGGGCCAGGTGGTCGTTCCCAGGAGTCACAGCGGAGGCATCTGTGGCCTCTGCACTGGTGGCAGTACTCTGGACAGGGACCCGGGGTCCCTGTTTACGGAGGAAGAAGCTGAAGCTAGCCCACGCCTGGCGACAGGGCCAGAGTTGGGGATCCCAACTCCAGTCTCATCTTAGGTCCCTGGTCAGTGCCTGCTGTCTGGGCTGTTCTGTCCACAATGTGCAGTGGACACAGGTGACCCTGGCCTGCACTCAAGGCCATGTGGACACGAGTACCGCCCACCTTGTGTGCCTTGCCTGGTGCTACAGAAAGGAGGGTGGGTGGGGCCAGTTCAGGAAGGGGACC